CCATGAGGAACATAAGTGCTTCAGAGCCTGAGCCTTTTGAAAAAACAGAGTCCCACTGTTGTAGAAGCGTGTGTGTATGTGTGTGTATGTGTGTGTGTGTGTGTGTGTGTGTGAAAGTAATTTAAATGGAGTCATCATACAATGGGAGAGACAATGCCCCAACTAGACTAAGCACTTCCAGTACTAGAAATAGGTTCAATCTTGTTGATAGAGAAGAAAGGTAAAAACTTTTAACTAATGACCAGCTAAAAACCCTGTGGCCTACAACAATAGTTTACCAGAAGGAGAAACTGGTGTAACTGAGGCACAAATTTTATGGGGCAGCCAAGCTCTTTATGACTGGATTTATGGCCCATTCCAGTGAACCCATACCTGACATTGCTAATGTGGCCAAGAACCTGAGACTAGATATGTCACGTGCCTATGAGAAAACCTACTGCTATTATTCTGATAAAGCTACATAGCAAGAGAATGACTCCTAATGATGACATGCTGCTGTACCTCACTCAGGGCCTCACTCAGCTCATATGAGAAACGAGAATTAACACAAGGACCTGCAGCTAGATAATATGTGGAGAATAATGGAACACTCAGTCATATATTTCATGTCTTCATTAAATCCAAGCCTCAGGGATCTACACAGAGAAGGAGGAAGAAGAGAAGGAGGAAGAAGAGAAGGAGAGACTGTAAGAGCCAGAGGTATTGCATGACTGGGAGGAAATAGTCTTCCAAACACAAGAGGACTGATGCACATATGAACTGGCAGAGACTGTGGCAGCCTGTACAGGCCCTGCATGGTCAAGCCAGCATGGTCATAGGACTGGGAGGAAGAAGTGGACACAGGATCCTATCCCTAACCAAGAGGATATCTACAATTGACACCCACTAGCAAAGGGAGAATCACTTTCTCCAATGGAACTCACTGGGTATATTAATCACACTTAAGGACAGGCCCAGTGCCAGGGCAGCCAAACACAAAACAAACTCCATGGTGATTTTGTTGAGGACAGTTTGTTTTGTTTGTGTGTTTGTTGTCTTATTGGTCTTTTGTTGTTATTCTCATTTGGGCAGTGGGGGATGGGGCAGAGAGAGACACACAGAGAGAGAGACAGAGAGAGAGACAGAGAGAGAGACAGAGAGAGAGAGAGAGAGAGAGAGAGAGAGAGAGAGAGAGAGAGGGAGAGAAAACATGAAGTAGGCTGGTTAGGGAAGTAGGGAGGATCTGGGAAGAGTTGGAGTGAGGGGAAAAAAGACAAAAATAAATCATCTTGCAATGCATTTTTATCTTCAAAATATTGACAGATATAATAGGCACCTAGCTTCTTCAAATTCTTTTCAGAAATGAATCCCTATGACTCTGTTCTACGCGGCAATGCTACTGAAAGATGAATAAGAAAGAGCAAAAGTAATTCCTATGGTTATCAGAAGAGTCAGCAGCAAAGTCAAGGTTAAGTATCAAACAAACATTCCTGACCTTGTCCCCTCACCAGGTTCTCAGACTCAGATTTGTGGGTAAGTTTGTGTCTGTCTACCAAATATGAACATGGTGAACAAGGATATCCCGAAATATATCAAGACCTATCAGGAAATAAACTTGGTTACCTCTACCCAGCTACACTCTCTTCCTACTGTCTAGCACTTCTCTGTATTTACCACAGGATCAACATGAGATCCTAACTCTCTGATGCCTCTAACAGTTTGAGGAATATAAATGAACTCTCAATTCAGGGCCTGGGGTCGGGTAAAGGTCAGCGGTAGGGCTCATGCAAGAGGCCACGCATTTGATCCCTGATGCCACTGTAAATGTCAGAGAAGGGACTGAAGCATAAACTCAGTGTTAAAAGTCAACTGGTAGCCGGGCGGTGGTGGCGCACGCCTTTAATCCCAGCACTTGGGAGGCAGAGGCAGGCGGATTTCTGAGTTCGAGAGTTCGAGGCTAGCCTGGTCTACAGCGTGAGTTCCAGGACAGCCAGGGCTACACAGAGAAACCCTGTCTCGAAAAACCAAAAAAAAAAAAAAAAAAAAAAAGTCAACTGGTCTGACTCATCTAGCTTAAGGATTGTCATTCTTTCTATGACTAAATAGTTCCATGAGTGTGACAGCTCAAACAAAAGAGATAACATATATACCATATCTTTATCCCTAAAAAGATACAGTATTTTCAACTCATAGGACTCTTAGTAATGATTAAATGAAAGAAAGAACAGGAAGCATGTTATTGCCTAATGTAGATGTTCCCTAGAAAGAGAAACTCATGAGTACATACTATAACTCATCCATCTTTTCTAAAAATTAGCAACTAGTATTCATTGACAATCATACATGTACATAATGTATCATGATCATACCCCACGCCATCTCTCCTTTCATATTCTTCTATCACAGGGCACTTTATTTCTTCAGATGAGCTCTCAACCGGAATCTGACACTCTCTGATTGACTAGGCTAGCTGGCTAGCACACCCCAAGGATCCTTCCATATTTGTCTCCCAGCACTGGGACTGCAGGTACACACTGCCACCCTTGAGCTACACACTGCCACCCTTCAGCTACACACTGCCACCCTTCAGCTTCCTATGTGGACACTGAGGAGCTAAACTTAAGTCATCATGCTTACGCGCCAATCCAACAGAGGCATCTCCCAAGGCCACCATACTACTTACTTTAAAAGGAAGTTCTTGGTAGTGATTTGGAGCTATGGAAGCCACAGAAGTATTTTCATCCTTGCATTGTTAGCTCATGAATTTAAATACCTCTGCTCAGCCAGAAGTGTTTTGCGTCATGAACTGCAATGTTCACTGTACAGTCTTACAGAAACATATAAAAAGCGAAGACTTTCTACTACCATTTGTTCATGGGTATATATCAAATTAGCATATCTATTAATGTTTTCCTACCAGTATTATTCAGCCTTTAAAGTATTAAATTAATGAATCTTTTTAAAAGTGAATTGCTAAAAATCATTCTATTATTTTATATGTATGGGTATTTTGCCTGCCTGTATACCTGTGCATAACATGTGTGCCTTGTACCCATGGAGGTCAGAAGTAGGTGTTGGATGCCCTGGAACTGAATTATGGATGGCTGTAAACCACTATGTAGATGCTGAGAATCAAACCTAGGCCTTCTGCAAGAGCATCAGAGCTCTTAGCCACTGAGCCATCTCTACAGCCAAAAGTTTTCTTTTGAACATAATATAAAAATCAGTGCCACTTTAAAAAAAAAAGGTCAACAGTGTATTTATATACCATCATCAAGTAGACAATAAAATTTAAACAGAATTATAATAGTCTCATAAAGCATCAGAAAATAGGAATAAACTCAACTAAGCAAAGACCCATGCATTACGGTTTCAGCAGTATTTTGCTAAAAATCTAAGAAATAACGGCACGTGGGGTTTTCTTGGGGTGGGAGACAGATGCTTAAGATTCTATTTCCCATAACCATCCTGACAGAGCTATTCAATCAAGTCCCATTAAACTACTAGCAAGGCTTTCTGTTTTGTCTAGAAATTCATACAAAAATGCAAAAAGAACAAAAATAACCAAGATGATTTGGAAGACAAACAATTAAACTGAAGAATTTCAACAGACATCAAAACAAAGTATGACAGAAGGAAAATAGAAGCTGCAAAGTAGACTGACGGCCCGGAGCAGAGGGTCCTTCACAGGCCTGAGCAAGGCTGCAGCAGTGGACACACAGGAAAGTGGAGCTGCAGTGCTCAGTCTCTGTGAAAAACAGATGAAACTTGTAACTCACGGGACACATAACCCTCACTTCGGATGAACTGGTGATATAAATGTGGAAAGTAAAACAGTAAAGATTTCTGAAGAACATAAAGAAGAACATCTTTACAGTCTTCATTCAAACAGGCAAATGTTTCCTAAATCTGGCTCCAAAGCGTCAAATGTAACCTAGAAGAATGAAACCAGCAGCGAGCCACAGCATGGGACATGTGCCTAACGCGCATGTCAAAGCCATAGTATGGGTGGGAACAAGTGCCTATTGCGCATGTCAAAGAAAGCCCCCACATCCATAAACAGGGAATTCCAGAAACTGGCAGTATAAAAATTTAACAAATAATTAAAAGACCTCAGCTGACACTTAATAAAAGATCCATTTTAAGTGTGTAGGATGGTGTTTGTCGGAATGGAACCCTGAACTACACAAGGGTATACTGCACACACCACACAAAGACTGAGTGCTGCACATCAGGGTGCCGGGCAAAGATAGAGGCCAGGCAGACGGAAGACGTTTTTGAAAAACCTTGAAACACCATTCATTACAACTGAAGAAAGATTTCCATCCTACAATCCTGCAGTTCTACAGGAAACTCCATAAGGAAGCAGGCACTAGAACATGCATGGCAGGACTAACATAATAGTTTCAAACTGGAAATTACCAACACTGAAAGCATGTAAATACTTATTTGCATAATGGAATTCTACTTGGCTTTAAGAATCAATTATAATTACAGGAAGGTAAGACTGACTCTAACAAACATGCTGAAAAAGCTAGCAAAATGTGTACACATGACTGCTATAAAATGCATAGTGAGGCAAAAGCAAACTCTGGTCTCATTGAGGGTACCTGGTTAGTGTAGTGTAGTGGGAATCATGGTGGATGGCAGGAGCAGCAGAAGGTGTTCACTTTGTGAAAAATGTGTGTGTGTGTGTGTGTACATATGTATATTTGCTTTACATCGACATCAAGATATTACAAAAATACTTTAAAAATTTAAAACAGAACAAAAACCCAACAATATCATCAAGCTGAGTATGGTGGCGCACGCCTTCAATCCCAGCACTTGGGAGGCAGAGGCAGGCGGATTTCTGAGTTCGAGGCCAGCCTGGTCTACAGAGTGAGTTCCAAGACTACAAAAGGGCTACACAGAGAAATTGTGTCTCAAAACAAACAAATAAAGAAACAAACAACAACAACAACAAACGAAAACCAACTGGCACATGTCTGTGGAGAGAGGCTGACAGCAGCACTGCTCACCTTTGTCCTGTAGAGCCATCTGTTGCTTATGCAGGAAGGCCACCTCCCGTCCCAGTGCTTTCTTCTGTCTTTCCAGTTCATTTCGAAGCACCAAAATTTTTAATCGCAGACATTCACTTTCTTTTTTCTAAATAAATAAAATCACAGGTAAATTTATGAATATAAAGTTATAGCTGTAACTGCACATCCACCATGTTTTAAACCAACAAAGGCATCTGAATATCAATAAATGTATACATACGATAAATGTACACAATAAAGACATACCATAAAAGACACTACCTATTTATGACCCACAAGTTTCAGAAACAAAAAAATGAGTGAAAACTTCCTTAACTGGTACCTACTATCATACTTAATGGTAAGAAACTAGGCCCTAGATTCAAGAACAAGACAAGAAGTTGCCTTTACCATTTCTACTTAACATACATGGACCAGACAAGTCCTTACCAAGGCAATAAGACATGGAAAAAAATGAGAGGCTATGTGGACAGAAGAACTAATAAGACAGGTGATGGAACAGTTGACACAGAAGAGCCTAAATAGACAAAAACCAGCCTATGGCACTATAAGCAATTACAGCAAAGACTAGAGTTTGGCTCTCCAGTACCCATGTAATATCAGGTGGGCTGTGTTGCTCAGACGGCAGAGATGGGGGAGCAGAGATGGGATGCCCTGGTTAGACTAACATATAGGTGAGCTCTGGGTGCAATGAAAAGATAGAGAAGGATAGAAGACAATTCCTGGTGTCACCCTTGGGCCTCTGATGTACGTGAACATTCACACATACATGTGAGGTACGAGCCCACACATGTGAACATGCATACATATATCTGTGGATAACACACACACACGCGCACACACACACACACACGCAAAAGGGGGTAAGTCCCTTTTTATTCAAATACATTCTCTGAACTTGCCTCCATTTACGAATCTGCCGTCTGAGTCACAGTGACACTGTCTGTGAGCACGCACTCACTGTAAGGAGGTTTCTTTGTTGGCCCCTAGCACATGGTATCAGTAGTATACTTTTTGTGATTTTCTGTGATATAAATATTGATCAAACTGTAATCTGGCTATACCTGGTGATGTTCTGTCTTTTCCAAAAGTTTAAATAGCTAACTAAAATTATAATACAAAAATGATTATTTAATAAACTAAAAGTTAACAAAATGTGGAAAGAGCTGTCAGAAATTTCTCAAAGAAGTCAGTCCTTGATTGATGTTTAGATGATAAGAAAACCCGGGAATTGAGTGCAGTTCATCACAGCATGGCCCTTTTAAAGAATGGAGAGAGGAAAACAATCCTGGGCGACTGTATTGATAACACCTGGCAGCAACCAACTCTCCCCAGAATGTTTTCTTCTTCATCCCTGAAACACTCAATCTACATAGATGGTACAATAGTCCACTACAGACACAGCCAAGGAATCAGTACAAAACCTAGTTTCCTACCACTATTACATTAGGCTGGAAAAATCTAGGAAATATGTCTTTAAAAAGAATGCTTCTAAATAGAATTTTTGAATAATGCAAACATTTATGAGGGATTTACTACATAGTCTTACCTGATTTTCACTAACTTAGGTATTTATTTTGTTTTGTTAAAACATTGTAAAAACAAACACCAGAGAGTCAGTGAGGTTCTAAACTGTGGATGTGACCAAGTATTCATCAACCAATGGATGGAAAAGTGGAATGTAGTATATAGATAGATTAGAATATTACTCTGCTTTAAAGAGGGAGGAACCCTGGTGTATGCAGTAACACAGGAATCCTTAGTTATTACGTCATGTGAAATGAAGAAGCTGTAAACAGCCCCTCTATGTCTAATGTCATTTACATGAGGGACGTAGAATAGTCAAATCTGGGCTGGCAGTGTCAGACAGTGGTAGAGCGCATGCCTACCATAGACAAGGTCCTGGATTCAGTTCCCAGCAGGTGTGGGGAGGATGAGCACTGAGAATGCCTGTGACTCACAGACAACAGTGGCAGGGCCTGGGAGTGAAGGGGAGGGGGAGTCAGTACTTCACAGCTGTAAAGTTTCAGCTTTACAAAATAAAAAGGGCTTTGGTCACAGATGGTAAAGGTGTATTAAGTAAGTACTCTATGAATGTACTTAATACCAATTGTACTGGCTGGTTCTGTGTGACACAAGTTAGTTATCAGAGAGGAAGGACTTTCAGTTGAAAAAAAAAACGCCTCCATGAGATCCAGCTGTAAGGCATTTTCTCAATTAGTGATCAATGGGGTGAGGGACACCCATTGTGGGTGGTGCCATCTCAGGCTGGTGGTCCTGGGTTCTCTAAGAAGCAGGCTGAGCAAGCCATGGGAAGCAGGCCAGTAAGCAGCAGCCCTCCATGGCCTCTGGATCAGCTCTTGCCTCCAGGTTTCTGCCCTGCTTGCATTCCTGTCCTGACTTCCTTTGGTGCTGAACAGCAACATAGAAGTATAAGCCCAGTAAACCTTTCTTTATGGCATTTTATCACAGCAATACAAACCCTAACTAAGACACCAATGAACTATACATTTATAAATGACTGAAACAGGCTGGTAAATTAGCCCAGTGAGTACGGTGCTTGCTGCTAAGCCTCACAGCCTGTGTTTGATTCCTGGAACTCACTTGGCAGAAGGGGAAACTGACTCCACAAACTTGTCCAACCTCTCTGTGAACACCATGGCACATCTCCCTCCATACATGAATCACTAGATATTTTCTAATCACTAAGATTAGAAATGTTATGTTATATGCTTTAAAATTTAAGAAATTGAGGGAAGGGTCAATGAGGTAGATAATGATGATTATGTTTATTTTTTAAAAAAGGAACCAAATCAAACCCTTTTCTTTAGTGTGATCAGAAACCTTTGGATCTTCAACACCACTGAGGGGGAAAAATAAAACAAAACACAGCCGGGCGGTGGTGGCGCACGCCTTTAATCCCAGCACTTGGGAGGCAGAGGCAGTCGGATTTCTGAGTTCGAGAGTTCAAGGCTAGCCTGGTCTACAGAGTGAGTTCCAGGACAGCCAGGGCTACACAGAGAAACCCTGTCTCGAAAAACCAAAAAAAAAAAAAACCAAAAAACCACAACTCTTCAGAAGTAAGGTTTTCCAGAAAGATGTAGGTACTCAATTGCTTTAACCCCTTTCTTTTTTTTTTTTACAAAACATACAAATATTTTGTGCAGACAGCATTCTTCAGAAAATACAACCTGGCTCATGGGGTAACTTGCTTTGTTCCAGGGTACACACTCAAACTGGGAATGTGTTCTCGTTTCAAAGCACAAAACTTACAAGTCTATCTAAACACAGAGCTCACACAAGAAGGCGTGAGCACAGCATGTGTGTGTTATGGTCCATGTAAGGAAGCTCAGGAAGGTCCATTTACAGAAACAGAGCCATCCGCTCAAACCAGGATTGCTGGCTCCCGTTTTTGAGGAGTAAACAAGCCCTGCCTTTGGCTGTTTCCTTGCTCACACTTCAAAAGCCAGCCGATCAAAGATCTTAACGTAAGAATCTTCTATGCACTGCACTCTAGCCGCCTCTTCATTCCAAGTCCAGTTAATGTCACACACCTACCCCAGTATCTATCACTTTTAACTAGATTTCACACAGCACTCAGACATCACAGACGTGCATGCTTGCACGCACACGTTCCCATTTGTGTGTGTTTTAAAATCACGGGTGATGTTAAACACTCATTCTACAATGACGGATGGGTCTATAAATAATATATTCTATAAACAAGATAAGCAAACAAGCATTTTCTCATAAATCACACTGGAGCTTAAAACCCTCAGACACAAGTTCCTAATCAATGGCCCTGGGATAGTCAAAGTTTCAAACCCGTGTAATCGCATTGAGCAGTTGGCTCCTGTTGCGGTCTTGGTGCTCTGTCTATGAAGCATATGAGAGTCTGTTTGGATACTGCAAAAGATCTGCTGCCAAACAAGAGCTGCTAGAAGCCTTGCAGAAACAGCTGTTCTATGTATTTGTGTGTGTGCACGTGAGTGTGTGTGAGCATGTATGAGTGTGAGTGTGTGTGTTCATGTGTATGCATGCATCAGGGCACTCAGGTGAACTCAGAGGACAACTCTGGGAGTCAACTCTTTCCTTCCAGCACGTGGAGTCAAGGAATGGAAGTCAGTCGTCAGGCTTGGGGACAGTGCCTGTACCCAGTGAGCCATCTCACTGATCTTTACAGTCACAAGACCAAAACAGAATCTTCTTTTTAAAAGAAAAACACTTCTCATAAAAATCTTTTATACTAACATTATAGATTTGCTATTGACACTTTAAAATTAATTAGAAAATAACTTTGATCCCAGCACTTGAGAGGCAGAGGAAGGCAGATCTCAGAGTGTGAATCCAGCCTGGTATACAGGGTGAGTTCCAGGACAAGGCAGGGCTATACAGAGAAACCCTGTTTCAAAAAACAAAAACAAACAAACAAAATTTTCAGATTTGATTTCTAACATAATAAATATTAATAGTGTAACCAAGTTCTTAGAGATTGTCACCATTTTTAACATATTAAAAGGTCCTAAGACTAAAACATTTGAGGAACTAGTGATTTAGAGCATATTTTATCTTATCTGTGGTCATTTTCCACAACTTGGGAGTAACTAACAATCTGGAGAAAGTCTCAGACTGTGGAAGTTGCTAAATTGCTTCCAAATGTCATTTACAGGTGACTTTTCTCCCTTCTCCATGGATAGGCCGATCACTACGACAGAGAAAACGCTTCCTTAGAAAACATTTACTCCAGCTTACTACCCTCACAGACTCAGTAGTACTATCGATAGGGCCGAGAACTCAGGCACAGGTACAATATGTAGGCAGAAAGCTTATATATCTTTATAAATATAAAAATATATTTATATAAAAAAGGTTGGCTTCTAAATAATAATAAACATCCACCAAATTGATCTTCTAATCAATTAAGTATATGAAGATAGCATTGTAGTTTCTACAGTGATCAATGGTATGCTGTTTTAGGAAGAAGTCAAGGTTTGATATAAGTACACAGCACACACAGGCAATTTTCTCTCCTTATTCTATGATTATGCCTGTGGCTCTGGAAGCCAGGAAAAAACCAACTGTCTCTCCACTTGAAGAGACCAGAAA